GGAAAGCGGGTGATGCCCTCGAAAGCATTTAACTGAAATTATTTTAATGGAAGGACTATTCTCAGAGTATGGCAGGGCTAAGGTTTCCAGAGATGACAAAGGGCCCAGGGATGAACAGCAGTTGAAAGCCATCACTACTTCTAGGACTAAAGAGATGAGAGGAGGGTGTGGGTTTTCAGAACCTGGAGAGAAAGCTGTGGCTTTAAGAAAGGGATCACACCTGTGGCCAGGAGTAAAGGATCGTAGTCACTGCCAACCTGCAGCCCATAGGAAGGCAGCCAGGGAACCTCACTCTCCTTCACCCTCGACTCTTCTACTGATTCCTCCATTGGTCAAACTCAACTAGCAGCCAGAGGGCAGGGAGCCTGGGTGGTGTCAAAGTCGCCATCCAGGGCACGGAACAGTATGCAAAAAGATAGAGAATGGCTCTGCAGTTGCCAGTGAAGACTATCCAGAACAGTCACCAAATGACCTACCTACTCAATTCAATGCAACTTTCCCCTCTCTTATCAGTCTGAAACCCCCTGCAGAATTTGACAGCAGAGACAAACTTGCCTCCAAGTTTTTCAGCGTTATAAAGGGCATCACAGAACGTCTTCTCCAAATCTTGCCCTCCTCTCTCGAGACATCTCCAATCATACCCACTTGTTTCCTTTCAGCCAGGTTCAGAAGATGGATCCTAGCTCACCAGTCATTCTTCTTTTCATCCTCACCGTCTCTGCTGATGCCCCTTTTCAAGAAGAGAAAATTCTAGGGTCTCTCATTTTCAAAAATCCTCCACTGATCACTCGCATTTTTCTTGCTGCCACCCAACTCCTCCCCTAGTCATCCAACCTTGTCTAAGGAGAGGTCTGCATCTCCTCTACCATTCACTCCATTGTCCCCCATAAACTAGCTTTTACCCCTTCACCCCCCAAAACAGTACTTGCTAAGGTTCATAATAGCTCCCTGATTGCTAAATTCAAAGGGCTTGGCTTCTTATTTTTTCTGAGATTCGGGCCACATCAGAGTGTTGATTACTTTTCTCCTTGAAACTCTTCACTACCTTGGTTGCCTTGGCAACCCCCTCTCCTAGCTGTTTGTCTCATCCCTCAGGTCCTTCCTTCTCCCTCTCCTTTGTCGACCGCCCACACCTCAATCAGCCTCTCAAATGTCACAGTAACTCACGATTCTGCCCTGGGCCCTCTCTCATTCTCTCCCGACACTCTCCCTGGCGATCTTACTCATTCCTGGGGTTCATAGCAAGCTCTGTCCCTGGGTTGGCCCCTCCAGTCAAACCTCTCCCTGGACTGGGATCCAGCTGCCTGCTGGGCCCCACATGGCTGTGCTCCCAGCCCCAGACAGCTCTACCTGCCTGAGACTGGGCCCATTGTTGCCCCCCTCCAACTGGTCCCCGTGCTGTGCATCCCATCCCAAGCACCTCCCTGCCATCCACTGAGGGCCCCACTCAAGACACATGGGAATCATCCTTGGCTCTACCCTTGCTTTCACACCAATAGCCAAAAATCACCATGCATTTCTTACTTTATTTTCTAAAAGTTTCCAGGTTCTGTCCATCCCTTTTGCCATGGCCATACTACCTTACCTGGACCACAACCATAGTCTCTTAATTGATTTCCCAACCTAGCGAATGTCACCTTCCAAATCTAGCCTCCACATTGGTTACCACAGTGATTTTTCTAAGCCACAAATCTGAACATGTCACTGGTGTGAAAATAGCACCCACTGATGGCAGGGTGCTGTCCAACCTCCCTGATGGGGTGGGGGTCAGGATGGGGGGTGGTATCCAAGGCCCTGAAGGGTCTGGGCTCTGCCCACTTCTTCAGTCTACCCTTCCCACTCCCTCTTTCTTCTCTCCTATCCCAGGAACACCAAATGCCCTCAAGCTCACCCTTGCTACTTCTCATTTCTGGGGCTTTGCTTGTGCTGCTTCCTTTGCTTGGAATGTCCTTCCAGTTCCTTCTACCTTGCTCATTCCTACTCATCTTTAAGAAATCAGACCAGTGGCCACTTTCTCTGGAAAGTTCTGTGCATATCTATGTTCTATTATTGCACTCACCATACTGTATTAAAGTGGTCTGCTTACACGCTGTCTCGTAGGACACTATTTTATATATTACTCAATGTGCTTTTCCTTCCCCACTTCCTTGCCCGTCACTGTTTCAACGCATAAGAAACAACCCCAAACTTTAGTGACTTAAAAACACAATTTACTATTTCTTAGAGTTCTGGGGGTTGACAGGACTCAGCTGGGTGGTTCTTGCTTGAAGTCTCTCGTGCAGTTGCGGTCAGATGGCAGCTGGGGCTTGAGTCATCGAAGGCTCAGCTGGGCTTGCTGTGCAGGATGCCTCCCCACATAGCTGGCAGCCAGCTGGGAGCTCAGCCGAGGCCGCTGACTGGAGTGCTCACATGTGGATTCACCACCCAGGTTGGACTTCTCACAACATGGCAGCTGGGTTGCAAGAGGGAATATCCCAAGATCAAGTGTTTTAAGAGGCCTGTGCAGAAGCTACACGGCTCCTAATGACCTAGTCTCATAAGCCTGAGAATGTCTTTTCTGCTATTGGCCCTATATTCTGTCAGTTAAGTAAACACTAGGTCCAGCCCAGATACACGGGGAGGGGAGGTAGACTCGGCCTCTAGATGGGAGTAGTATGTGTATACAGGGCAGGCAGGAATGGATGATGGCCATCTTTGGAGACTAGCTAACATGGTCACTCTCTCTCGATTCAGTCAGAGCTTTGGATGAAGACTTAGGTTGTTATGGCACAAATGCAATGAGAAAGACAGTCAACGGTTTCAAATAGTCTTTTGAAACCTACAGCAGAAACAGGGTGTTTGGTTGTGGTCACCTGCCTTTCGTAAAGAGAAAAGAACCTGAGGGATTCAGAACGTGAAACGGATGCCATAAACAGTAAATAGGGAAGAATACAGAAGCTGTCTTCCTGCATGTAAGGAAATCAAAGTTTGACCAGCTTGTGGGAGGAGAAGAATCACACGGAGACATAATGAACAGCAGGTGCTAGATCCCCTCAGATTTGGGGGTATCCCGTAGTAGAAGGGTATATTGCCTGGTTCCTCATGGTGTTTCCCAGGAGACCAACACCTCCCAGCAAGGGCTGGAGAGGCTGAGAGCCCTGATAGGAGGAGGTGTTTGATATATGGGCCTGGGCATGTCCTCCACGGTCCTGTGTGTCCCCACGGCAAGGTGGTGATGAGGATATAGGGTAGTGGGTGAGTGTGGCTGGTGGACTTGGAAATGCTTTGTAGTCAGGACAAGGATTCAGTGGGGATGCCTGGGTTCAGAGAATGGCAGTAGATAGATCTTGGTGATCCAGGATCAGATGTACACCCTGGTACCAGGAGATCCCAGAACACGGGCCACTCTATGGAGAAGGGAAGGAGCTTTGGAAAGCAGAGAAGCTGGAAGTGGACAAAGAATCTATTTAAGAGAGACTAGGAGAAGCCCACATGCAACTATATCTCCCTCGAACTGACAAGGATGATGAAGTTTGTGCTACTGAGCAGAAAGGGGTGGGAGTGGTGGTAAGAGTGAACTCGAGTTCTGGAGAAATAAAGAAGCCATGTTTTGCAGGGGCTCTCTTGGTGGCAGTTTCTGGGCCAGCAAACTGAGGCCCAGAACGTTTCCTTTTCTCTCCTCTCTCATGCTTGGTTGGCTTCCTATTTCTACCTCCAGATCATCTCTTGAATCCACCTCCTCTCCATCTGCCCTGTCATTCAGCTCGGCCCTACACCACTTCTCACCTGGACAGCCATGGGGGTCTCTAGGGACTCCGGCTTCTGGGACCCCTTCAAAGCCTCTTCTGCAGGCAGCCAGAGGGGCGACAGGATACATTTGCTGTTTTCTTTACCTAGACCAGTGCCAACTCTCTTGGGAGTTGCACACCGACCTATTTTGAATGAAGTCCACCTTCTTATTACATAACCCACCTTTTGGCCATCACTGATTGGCCACTTAACCCAACCCCTGCACTCCCACCTTGGTCTCTTTTTCAGTCATGAACCTGAAGGACGTGAAACACTGGTAGCCATGAGTGCCAGTACGTAGAAGACGCGGGCCTCAGAGATTGAGGCTGTCACTTGGCAAGCATGGGGGTGAGAGAAGGGTCTGACAGTCAAGTCCTTGGCTCCAGAACCTGGAGGCCCAACCAGCCTGGCCTGTCGTTTGGTTATAGAAGCCAATCAAGTTCTCTTTCTGCCTGAGATGGTCTGCGTTGAGTTCTTTCATTGGCAAAGATACGGGACTCAACGAACATGTGATCGCACGTGTCTCTCGGCTTAAGCACATTCACTGATTCCTCATTACCCTGAGGATCTAAGCTCAAACTCCTTGGCATGACACACAGGTCACTGCTCTCCCTCCTGCCATATCCATGTCCCCAAACCTGTGTGCCCCACACGCTGGGCTCATTGCTGTCCCTGGTATATCCCATGGAGGCTGCTGGCCTCCCAGGGTCCAGGTGAGAGAGGAGGTCCATGCCCGCTCTGCCAGATCCCTCCTCCCCCTCTGCTGGTCTCACAGCTCTCAAGTCCTTTGAATCCAAGTCTTAATCTAGGAGTTCACTTGGGCAGTCTCTTCTAAGCTCTGGGCCCTTCCTTTTCCTATATCAAAATTTACCTCTCTCATGTGTCATCTCCTCAAAACTTGGGTCTTTGAATTTTTTTTAATTGCAAAAATAGTTTGTGGACATCTTAGAAAATTGCTAAGTAGCTGAAGTACCCAGAGGCAACCACTGTTCACATCTTGACACACTTCTTATCAGAACTGTTTTAATAACAGTCTTCTGTTTCTTTCCATGAAATACATATAGTTAAAAAAAAATTCAGGAGGATAAAAGAGCAGCCTTCTCCTTATGTCCAAACTCTCGCCCCAGATTATGTGACCTGCTCCTTGAGACCACCTCCCAGCTCTGAGAAGTTCTTAGATCCCTTGTATTAGGAAGGATGCTTTCACTAGCATTTAACAGAACACCCAAGAGTGGCTTAAACAGTAAGAACATTTATTTATTTCAAAGAAAGTCCAGAAGTCAATGGTGCCAGGTGTCCACGCTGAGTCAGCACAGAGCTGCATCTCCTGGCCTTCCCCTCCTGGTCACAAGATGGCTGTCAGAGCTCCAAGCATCACATTTTCACCCAACAGCACCTAGGCAGAAAGGAAGGGGCAGGGCCAATAAAGCTGTCCAGATGAACATCTTTAATCAGGGAGGAAAGTGCTTCCTTGGAGTTGCCTGATGATGTTCTCCTACAAGATCCTTGTCAAAACTGGGCCATGGGAGTTCTCTGAACAACATCTACTACACCTTATTTCTACTTCATAAGACCCAGTGATGTCCCATGTGGCAGATTAGGCTTCAGGTCACTTGGGAACTATTCCCCTCTATCCCTGCTTCTCCCAACACAATTTTAAAGTACCTCTGTTGGTTACCTTTTTAATTTCAGGAAACCTACTTGCCCATTCACTCCTTACTCCACTGTGTTCACAGAAGCTCTTTGCATCCCCGCTATGGTCCCTGTCAGTCCTCCCACCCACTTCTCTCCACTGTTATCTACCAGCTTCTGTATCTTTACCTTCACATTGTGATGGATGATAATACTGACATTCTGTTCTGTAACCATAATACAATCCAGCTCAATACAAAAATTGACTATCAATGAAAAGCGGAAAGGAGAAGACAACATTCTCATTATTTGAGACAACTCTACCCTACAAATTCCTGTGGGTACCTACCTATGTATTTACAAGTTTTTAGAAAGTTTAGAAAAGTGCACATGGAGCCCATTACAGCGGCAACCTCTGGGGAAGGGGAAGGAAATGAGATAGCAGTGGGTGGCCAAAAGGGACTTTAGCTTCATCTGCAATGTTCTGTTTTTTAAAAAAGAGAATGTATTCATGTTGTGCTTGTGTCATTAAACTTTAATTTGAAAAAGTTCCCATTCATTTTCAGCCAATTATGCTGGCTCTGTGTGTTTGGCAGTGCTCGTATGTTTGTGTCCAGGGAGGAAGAACGTTTACTTTGTGTGTGTCTATGAATGAAGTATAGTGATTAGTGGATTCAAAAAAAAATGTAGCAAGCAAAAGAAAAACAACACAGGGAGTGCAGAAAGAACTCATTCACAGCAACAATAAAAACTATAGGAATAAAGCCGTTAGGAAACGGGGAGGTTCTTTATGGAGAAAACCACAAGACCCGGCTGAAGGGCATACGAGACGGTCAGAGTACGTGTAGGGCTTCACTGTGCTCATGGTTTGAAAGACTCAGCATTGTACTGATGTCAGTTTCCCCCAACTTAATCTTTAAATTCACAGAACTTGACAAGCAGGTTTTAAAATTCATGTGGAGGAGTTAATGTGCAGTAAGAGTTAGAGCAGATAATTGAAAAGGAAGTACAATGAAATGGAGCATTTTACTTAACAGATATCAAAAGGTGGTATAAAGCTAGAACAGATAAAATAGCCTGGTGCAGACAGAAATATACAGATCGGTGAAACAGAACAAGGGCCTCAGACCTACCTAGACACCGTGATTCAGTACACGAGGGAGCTTCACTTCAGATCCGTGGAGAAAAAATGAACTAGTCAGTCCATCATGTTGCAATCATCAGCTGCACGTTTGGAGAAAGGTTAGATCATATCTCATTTCAATCATAAACATATATTCCAAATGCATTAAAGACCCAAATGAAAACAAAACTACTAGAAAGAAATACAGAATATATTTTACCTTTGGAGTAAGAAAGGCCTAAACATGATATATAAATAAAAGGAATAAAAGAAAAGATGGATAGATTTGATTACGTCAAAATTGATAATTTCTGTCTAACAAAAGCTCCTACCAAAATTTGAAGGCAACAGAGAAGCTGGAAGAAATCTTTTGTGTGACACTGAATCTTTACATTTGTTTGTCATTTTTCACTGTGCCTGGTATTGCTTATCTATAATATAAATAGGGTATATATTCAAATATATCACGATTAGAACTCATCAAAAAATCACCATAAGAAGCTTAATTTCAGAGCAAAAAAAGACAAAAGATTAATATCAAGATTATATTAGGAAATTCATAAATAAATAAGATAAAGGCAAACAACCTAATTTTTAAATGAGCAAAAATAAACAGATCATGCAGAAAACAGAAAATACAAATGCCTAATACACATGAAAATCTCACTAGCAAACAGGTATGTATACATTTTTTTAAATGATTCAATTTTTCACCCAGCAGATTGGCAAATATTTAAAACAACTGCTTATGGTATGGGGATTGGAGTCTTACACCCTCTGGCAAGAAGTTTAAATGGTACAAGAATTCTGGAGGACACTTTGGAAATGTCTAAAACTAAAAATGTGGAAACTTTGAGAACCAAAATTCCACTTCTCAATCACTACCCTAGAGAAACATGCCAGGAGGCACGTGTAAGGCTGCTCTCGGCAGTGCTGCAATCATGGAGGAACGAACGGGATGCAACTAAATGTCCATGGATCTTAGGGAAGAAAAAATGTGGCACATTCATGGGAATGAACACAACACAGCAAGAGCTATTTGTATCAATATGAGCATATCTTAGAAATAGAAAACTGAGTAAAAAAAAAACACAGCTTACAGTAAAATCTCTATAAAGTGGGATGATTCACTCAAAATGCCTACATCAATTCTATACGTTTCTATGGAAGGAGACACATAAAACTGGGGAGGGGAGGTGAAATAGGACTTCAGAGGCTGGCCAAA